CCCTCCAATTTCAATTAAAGAATGGTACATCTCCCACTGGCAGTGGGCCCCTTTGGTTCGCTCAATTGTGGTTGAGAATATACTTCCCCTAACTTGGTACTACATCGTCTCCTCCTAGATCGGTCAGTTGTTATGGGCTATTCATCCATCAAAAATTTGAATTCAACGCCTTCCTTTTTTCCTTTTTCTCCTCACCAACTCCCTATTTATATGCGACTTCCTTTTACTCTGACTGAAGTGAACACTTTCTTGCCCATTTGGGCACAATTCTTGATTGAGAGAGAACTGTTCCATGACATCATAACTGGAACAAATGCTAAGGCAGAGGTTGAGATATATGCTCCCCAATTTTTTGCTCGCTAGCTTGGTTTTGGCAAAATATGGCATGTTCCTCCCTGTTATTCTAGAAATTTAGCAGAGCGTTTCCATACTATAAATAAAATCGAGGCACAAGCCATTGATGCCCATAATATTCTTTTGACCAAAGATTTTTGTTTGGCTCCTTTCAATCCCACTGCTGTCACTCATCCTCTTTTTGATCAACAATGGCCATCGGTGAAACCCTTGCTGTTCACAACTGATGCTAATCGTGCCTTCCACTTACTGGATCTGCCAGAGACTTCATCTACTTCTCCTATTCTGGCCACCCCCGTGTCCATTGAGAATCCCATTTCTCCTTCTCACTCCCTGTATGTTCGTGCTAAACGTCCTATTTTTCCATCCAGTTCTCCATCTACTCAAGCTAGTACAGCTAAAGGTGCTTCCAGCTGCAAACGGCCAGCTTCATCTTCACCAATTTTGCAGGGTAATGATGATGATAATGCTCTTCTCATTCTCAGGAGAATGGTAATTGAGTTTGTTTATTCATGAAAAAACAATACTTTATGGGTTAATGCTTTACCTGAATTTTCTAGAAGAGTTCAACTTCTCCTTCGAAAGCTCTGGTCTTAGCAACCCCTGCTCCATCGCCTCCTACTGAAGCTGCTTCATCTAAGTTATCTGATGTAGGGGCTCTGCCTAAAGAGAAATCCATAGCCCCAGAGTCTTCACCACAACTAGTTGAAGAGCTGCCACCTTCCCAGGGCATTGACCCCCAACGTGTCGAACCAGAAGGTAATACATATCTTAATGTCTTTACCCTTACTTATACTATTGGCTTTCGACTCATTGTTTCTTAAATTCCGCAGAGGTTCCCATGGATCTGCCCATTATGGCGAGCCTGCCCGTCCAGATAAGGGGAAGTCTCCATAGGTGGCTGAGTCAACCAGTGATGTGCCCGAACTTTCTAAAGTTGCTGATGAGGTAGCCTTTGTTTCATTTTTTATCTTCACTTCATTTACTGTAGTGAAAATACTAAATACTTACATTTTTCTTTACAGGATGCTGATGCCATCGTGTGCTCCATCCATGACTTGTTCACTTCTTGGGAACAAGTAAAGACATCTCTCCCTTCTTCAACTAGTCGTCCTCCTGCTTCATCTGCCGCTTTCTCGAAAGAAAATATGAATATTCTCAAGCAATCAGTGTTTGAATATGTTTCTTTTATGGACATGGATAGCGGCAAAGCTAGTGCTGCTAAACAAAGAGATAAATTTGAGCTTTTGAGTGCGAAAATGGACAAGCATTTAAACTTCCTTTGCTCAACATTTCATCTGACTTTAAGGTGACATTGAAGATTATCCATTCTAAAATCAGCTCCTTGTTAGCCAAAAATGTCGAGTTGAAGGCCAAGAGTACTGAGTATCTTCACGCTGTATCTGAAAATGAGTCTTTGATTCAAGAGATTGATAAAGCCAAGGTCGAATTAAACGAAATCTCCTCTGAAATTATGGTTGATGATTCCTTGATGATAAGCTTAGCTGCAGAGATTAAGGAACTTCAAGCAAAGATGGACGACTGCAGGACTAGATTAGTTGCCAATAAGCGTAATGTTTCCCAAGGAATTGAGCGAACCAAGTCTTTGGTTGAGTGTTATACGAAGTTGGAGGTTGACGAAGATGTTGCAACTGAGTTGTCTGCTATTTCTTCTAAGCAGAGCGAGGAATGGGAGAAACTTAGGGAACAAATGCATTTAGGTTGGGGTAAACTGTAATTAGGATATGGCTTTGTGTAAGTCGACCTAATAACAGGACGTACTCCAAACACCATTTGATCCTACACTATTTCCATAATTTGATTCCTCAACATAACATTAGGATCATATGGAACTCCTACAGGTTGGTTCATTGGTTGAGTTACCTGAGGCCTGATATTTGGTCCTTGGTTGGCGACAAATAACGTCGTTGTTCAGACCATTATTACCATTAGTCTGAATGTTTCCGCCATTATTGACACGCGGGGCGTTCTGTCCATTATTCTGGACATTGTCTCTTAAATTTGGGTTCCCCCCCAAGTTTGACATCCCATTACCATCATTCAAGTTTGGCATTCCGCTACCCCTCTGGTTTGAAGTAGATGGTCCAGAAAGTGGTTCTATTCCTTGACTTGAGTTTAAACCTGGGGAATTAGGTGGGGAATTATGTCCCACAATCGTCATGGTTTGAAAGTGATTCCCCATTGGTACAACTGTTTGACATATTTGGCCCACTAACTTATTCATGATCTCATTTAACGTGTTTAGTTGTTTGGCCACGTTGTCATAATGTGCGTTCCCATTTTGGGTTAATCTTTCCATATTGTGAACATTTCGTAGATTTACCTGTTCAACGACATCCTGTGTGAGTTCCCCCAAGTAATACGCGCATGGTTCGAGGACTCAACTCAGTCATTAGCTAGTAGCGACTTTGACTACTTTGACTCTGTCCCTTGGNGAGGCATATTGCTTTAGTTTTTTCCGTATCCTCAAACACCAATTGTCCCACTGGGCGTGCCTAATTGTTTCGCGCGGGTTATCGCTAACAATTAAAAGATGATTCAGATGATTGTGTAATGAACAAACCTCTTGAGACAAAGTCCCAAAAAGGGGTGCTTTATTTATGAAGATTACAATTGGGAAGAAACAAAACGCCTCCAATGGGTACAAGCATACGGAGTAATTTGAAAGTTTGCACTTATAAACTAAAAGAAGTAAAATTGCATATTCTCTGGTTGAGAGTGATTGATTCGGGGTCCTTCATTCTATGTCTTCTTTTCCTTTTTATACTCATTTGATGGTTTTCTCTGTAGAACTGCCTGGAAACTGCTTGGCCCTCTATAACTACCCACTTTTTTCGTGATGGCTGATTTATCAAGGAACTGCCATTTGTAACTGTTGCTATTATTCTTGTCATTTAACCGCTTGTAACCGAGATTCTTGGATCGTGGGGTGTGATAAGATTGCTCAATAACTACTTCAATAACCATCGTTTTAAGTAACCACAAGACACTGTATTCGCTCAAATCTTGAGCGACTCAAAGGCTTGGGCAAGAATGAGATCATCGCTCTGAGTGACAGTAAGGCACTTCATTCGCTCGGACCCTAGGCGGCCTTCAGGTTTGGGCGATGATAGTACTTTGTTTATGGGCCTCCGCTATATTCTTCTATGGTCTCATTTGGGCCTATATCTTGAACTCTCTAACTGGGCTCTAATTTTTGGACCATTTTATTGGGCTTCATTTTTTGTATTTCAACATTTTCATATTGTGAACATTTCGTAGATTTACCTGTTCAACGACATCCTGTGTGAGTTCTCCAAGCAATGCGAGCATGGTTCGAGGACTCAACTCTGTCATTGGCTCGTAGTGACTTTGACTGCTTTGACTCTGTCCCTCTGTTCGTGGAGAGCTTTGCTGATCCTCATATTGCTCGATCACAGACTAGACTACTCCTTGGCTTACAGGTTCTTTATCAGAATTCTTATGAGGCATAATGCTTCACTTTTTGTATCCTCGAACACCAATGGTCCTACTGGGCGTGCCAAATTGTTTCATGTGGGTTATCGCTAATAGTTAAAAGAAAGATTCAAATGATTGTGTAATGAACAAATCTCTTGAAATAAAGTCCAAAAAATGGGAGCTTTATTTATGAAGATTACAATTGAGAAGAAACAAAACGCCTCCAAGGAACACAAGCACACGAAGTGAATTGAAAGTTTGCACTTAGAAAAACAATAAATTGAAATTACTTATTCTCTGTTGAGAGTGATTGATCCCTTCCATGTCTTTTTTTCATTTTTATACTCTTTTGCCGATTTTCTCTGTAGAACTGTCTGGAAATTGCTGATGCTCTATAACTATCCACCTTATTCGTGATGACTGACTTGTCAAGGAACTGTCGTTCGCAACTACTGTTATTACTCTTATTGTTTAACCGCTTGTAACCGAGATTTTTGGATCGTGGGGTGCGATAAGGTTGTTCAATAACCGCTTCGATAACCGTCGTTTTAAATAACCACAAGACACCGTATTCACTCAAGTTTTGAGCGATTCAAAGGTTTGGGCTAGAATGAGATCATCGCTGTGGGCGACAGTAAGACGTTTCATTCGCTCAGATCCTTCCTATATCTTGAACTCCCTAACTGTGCTCCAATTCTTGGACCATTTAAATGAGCTTCATTTTTTGTATGTCAATAGAATATAATACGAAATGCTCAATTGTGTTTTTTATGTTACATTTAACAATGAAATCACCATTGGAAAAATGAACACCCACAAAAATGCAAAATTAATGAATTCATAGTCTCCATTCAAATATTTAAGTGTATGTTAAATTATAGATTAAGATTTTAATTAAACCAAAAACTGAAAATTAAAATGTAATAATTTTGAAAGTTGAATATAATTTCCAACAATCTTCTCAGGTAGTGGCTACCCTTAGATTAATTAATATAATATAAGGGTAGTAATAATTTGTCAAATTTACTTAGGTTAAAATGTTATTGTCATGGGACAAATTTTATTTCAGAGACATAATTTAATGGATTCACAAGTAACGTCCACTTATTCATGATTTATTTTTAATTATTTATAAATTCTTACCAAATGAATAAGATTAAGGTTGAAATAAATTGTCAGTTGTTGAGATGGCCGAGTTGGTCTAAGGCGCCAGATTAAGGTTCTGGTCCGAAAGGGCGTGGGTTCAAATCCCACTCTCAACATTTATACGTTTTTCTTTTTAATGTTTAGAAATTATCTGCTACGACGAGCTCACAAACTCCATGGATAAGCCAAAGCGATAACGCCTTTATATTTCAATTTCATTCTTCCCCTCACTCTCTCCATCTCACAACCACCTCAGAGTAAGAACCACAAACTAAAAACCCTAATCTTATCATAGTATAAACAAACACATCAATCAAAATTCTAATGCTTTTTGCGTAATTTCACTTTGCAGGGTAATTTCAATGGCGGTGGCGAGTATGAGTTTCAATTTGGTGGGAGCATTCAAAGGACTGGCAATCGGTTCTGGTTCATCTTCATCTTTTTTGCGAGGAGATTTTGGTTCGATTCACGTTGGACAGAAAGTCTCCATCCGGTTTCCGATGAAATCGCCGCTGACGATTGAGTCGGCGCACAAGAAAGGAGCTGGAAGCACTAAGAACGGGCGGGATTCGCCAGGCCAAAGGCTTGGAGTAAAAATTTATGGCGACCAAGTCGCAAAGCCTGGCGCCATTATCGTTCGCCAGCGAGGCACCAAGGTTTGAACCTAAACCTTCTCAATTTTTAAAAGTGTTTTATTGCGTTTATTAGTGGGAAAATCGGTGCTATAATTTTTGAGTTCATATTTTTATTTTTTCATTTAGTTTGAAAATTTATAGTTGTGTATATGTTAAGGGATGCGGATTGATCATTGATACATGTCTGTAGCTATACGAGTGAAAGGAGTTGGTATAGAAGCTTTAATTGCATTTTTTTTTTCAATAACTAAAATTTTGTAACCAAAAAAACTAGGCAACGGAAAGTTTGGAGTTTTAATGGCTCTACTGTCAGCTTTTAAGTTCATAGAATTCATGCTTTTAGATCTCGTGTTTCTTAGTTAGATATGATATTTCAGATAGTTTCTGGGAGAAAGATTACTAACTCTTGGAAATTGAGGTGCTCTATTCACAGAGGTTCTTCTTAAATTCTTCTCAACGACTTGAAAAAAAAAAGATTGGTTTTGTTCACAACTATTTCAACTGGCGTATGTGTAAGATTTTCAATTGTAGTATAGAGTTTCACTATACACTTAACTTGCTCCTGCATAAGGAAATTGTAATGCCAAACATTTAATGCATCGAATATGGATGTGTTTTCTGTAGACTAAGAAAATAAAATTATTGCCATTATGTCTAATTGCGGAAGTTGATAAAATGTTCACATTTTTGCATTCTTAAGAGGCATCAGCGATCAAATTAGCAGGAAGTATGTTTATAATCAAACAACTTGTGGTGTCTTCACAAAGGAAACAGATGAGCTTATAGGATTTTTGGTGCCTGTGATCTGAGGTCATTTTTATTCAGTCAAAGTTCATCTCCATCTAAGCAGAAGTTTTAAGGCTCCTGCACAAACATTGATGGAGGTGGGGGGAGTGTTAGCGTTATGCCCTGCCTGTAATCCGATTAATTAAAAGCATTACAATAAGGGGGACATCAAGTCTTACCTCAAAGTTAACTTGAGGAAAGGTGAGGGGCGGAGGATGAATTTTGATGCCAAAAATAAAATTTTAAATACTACTTCCATGACACAAGGAATATAAGAGAATTTAAATTTGGAGGTACGACCTCCATTATAAAGCTATACTCAAATGAAAAATGTGTCCACTTAATACCTAGAGATGGGTGAATAGATGTTCTAATGCGAAATTTAAATTTAATAAAAATAACCAGCAATAAATACAAATTATTAGTCTAGATATATAGAAAATCAACTTTGTAGCACAACAATTATAAAAGCAAGTAAATGTGTAAATAAATAAAGAACACCAATAATTGTTCACAAAGAAAAAAATCTTTGAAGAACTCCTCAAGAGAAAAAAATCCGGTCACGCCCGTGCATCAAATATCCACTAGAAAAGATCAAGTTTATAGATCTGGTCCAAACACAACTAAAACTTAATCCGACTCTAAATCTGTAATTACTCGAAGAACTCATCGGTTGTGCTTTGTAATACTTGCTCCAGAACGTACAGACTTCTTTTACCTTGTGGATCTCCAAAAACGAACTTGTTCTTAACTGGAACTCCGCCACCTCTCATATCTATCAGAACTCTAAAAGTTATTTGGCAGACGATTTTGTGGCGATTTGGTTCTTGAATGTGGAAGAGAATTTTGATGACAATTTGTTTCTTCTGATCTTAGATCTTCTCTTCTTTTTCTTTTCTCTAACGCACAATTAAAGAAGTTTTTGTTGTTTATTAACTGTATTTCATAGTTCTATGTGGTTTAGGAGTGTATAGAGATTGAAATAAGTAAACTAGGGTTTCCTCCGCCTCGATAGACACTTGAGTGCCCTCCACGTTCATTGAGCACACCAAGTTTTGAAAAATGTGCTTGATCGCCCTCTTGACATTTATCTAGTACACAAATGTGCTCGAGGACTTTTCGGACGTTCATCGAGTACTTAAGTTGTGAAAAAATTGTGTTCAAGCACCTTGTGGACGTTCATCGAGCACACGTGAGTTATTCCATTCTCATGATTTTTGATGACGTGCTCAACCAACTATTAATACCTGTCAACATAATCCCAATTACAACTCGATTTAATGAGTTTTGGATACAGAACTTGCTAAGACTTACTTAGACCTCAACATAATCCCAATTACAACTCGATTTAATGAGGTTTGGATACCGAACTTGCTATGACTTACTTAGACCTAACATGCAATGTAGACTACATTGCGCGAGTCACTTTTATATCACACATAATGGTAGACCTTCCTAATTGTTGTGGCATTCTAAGATTCATCAGGAGGTGAGGGTTGTGTAGTGGGTTAACTACAGTTTTGAAGGACCGGTCCCCTGCATAAATACAGTTCATATGGATTAAAGTTCATTAGGTGAGGGTTGTGTGGTTAACTACTTTTCTGAAGGACTGGTCCTTTGCATAAATTCAGTTCACATGGATTCAAGTTCGTTAATTTTTGGCTTGTTTACCATTTGTCTTTTAGTTGTTGGGTGTCTCTTAGGGCCTCATCCTACAATTATTTCTATTAACTTCTCTATGTTGTTTACTCCTGCAGTTTCATCCAGGGAAGAATGTGGGTCTTGGCAAGGATCACACGCTTTTCTCTTTGATAGATGGCCTCGTCAAATTTGAGAAGTTTGGGCCTGATAAGAAAAAGGTTTATTTCATATATACATAAACTCGTTTGTCTCTATTTACTTCTTGCAACCATATAAATAATTGGTTATAATTTGCAGGTGAGTGTTTATCCACGTGTGGTACAGCCTGAAAATCCCAACAGTTACCGAGCAAGAAAAAGGGAGTCATTCAGATTACAACGTGAACGGAGACGCGCACGAAGAGAAGGTGTGCTTGCTCAGCCGCAGCTTGTTCTTGCTTCAGCTGCTGAACCAACTGACAGCAATCCAGCTTGCTGATGCTGAAAGATGATAAACTCACAAAAATTTGCAGTCTCCATTGTATTCACTACTAGGAAAACATTAGCAGGCGATGTACAAGGTTTGCTTCACTATATTTTAACTTTTGGCTCATCGAGTCACTGTATTATTTTTTTTCCCAGGAAATGTCATCTTTTGTGTTGAGATGCAAAAAAGAATTAATCCCATCAACTCACTAGAATCAAGAGAAAAGGAATATACGGGAACTAATATATTTGAAATCCCGAGATAGTTATTTAGTAAGCAAGAGAAATGTAAGCCTTCATTTTAAATTTTTTTTCAAATAACAATTTGTCTTCCCCAATGCTAATATAGCTTTATCAAGCAACATATCTAACCATGCCTAACATCAAGAGGCAAAAGGGTGATTAGCTGAAGATAAAACACTGCACACTGGCCCGGAAAACAAATGTATGGAACACATCTTCATATCCTCAGGAACCTGGGATTGTCGGGAGACAAGAATTTAACACTCAGTACCAAGGTGCAAGAACAATGTAATTTTAAACGCGTCTCAAAACCAAAATTCCTGTCCCATACTTGATAGTTTATGATTGAGGAAAACACTTCGAGCAACAGAGTAAGATATCTGGGACTTATAACAGGATAATGAAGCTGCGATAATTGCATTAATAATCAATCTCACCAATTGAAGTTTGTCAGAAATCAACTGATGCAGAATAATTTGAAAATACATGTTCAACGTGAATCAGTAATGAAAACTAAAGGAAAAGGGTTTTGGGTTCCTATAGAGTACAATTTTTTCTACTCTATATTTTTTCCAGGACTTTCATTCCATGGTAATTAGTTGCTTCAGAATTCTACCTGACCTGCAATTTGAATGAAATTGGTCAGTTTTTAAGATATGCAAAAAAGGTGAAAATTCATATACTCAAATTAGCTCACAGATAAATTTCAACTCAATCTCAAATAGTCAAGGAGAAAGATGTATCAACCGAGGCAAGAAACACAAAAAAAATTGAGGTCTATGCCTCCAATAGCTACCCTGTTCCAATACTTATTTGTAACCAAAGCCGCCCCCCTCCCCTCCCCTCCCCAAACCAAACCAAACAAAAGCAAGCTTGTAAAGTCTGTATAATGTAGTTATCGAAAGACTCATTAGCAACCAAAACCGTCCTCCCTCACCCCCACAAAAAATAAATAAATAAATAAAAGACGAGGAAGCTATATTGCAAGACATGAACAGAGTTAATAATTAGTCAGAAGTTTTCAGAAGAAATGAATTCAGTTTATAGATAATCACTAAGACATTAAGATATATAGTAAGATTGTCTCTGCTTTAAATTACTAGTTCAAGGGTTGTGCAGAGGGCTGGAGTTGATTAAGATATAACTTCATGCATCTGAACTCAAATTGCAGAGTTTTAGAGGTCGATCAGGAATGGATCGGTTAACCATTCCATTAGGGATCCTGGTCATAGAGAAAATGATAACCATAAACACAGTCATCCCTGAAGCTTCACAATTGATTAATATGTAAACATCAAATTCACCCATTGAATTTCTAACAATCCGACAGTTAGATGATGAAAACATCCAACTCGAAATTCCAATCTTGATAACTTAGCTATAACCACGAGCAATTCTCCTTAAAGTATCATGATTCAAATATCATAAACAAGACTGCAGATATGATAGCAGCTAGATAGCAAAATAAGTTAGCAACAATGACACATGAGATCTAATCCGACTTCGTATAGCAGTCAATCTAAGCTGGAGAAATTAATTATAAAATAAGCACGCAGTAGATATGTCATATTATTTTATATTTTTTTTCCAAGGAAATGATTGTATTAAACGAAGAATTGAATGTACCTCTAGGTGTTTAACCAGATCCGACGATGATATTGTTAATAGGAATGAATATCAGTTTGACAAAGAAGCCTACGAATCCCATCACCACGAAACCTATCGCAGTACGAGTCGCCACCTTGGTGAATTCTGCACATCACAAATCAAAAAGAAATAAATCCTCAACGAAATTATTAGATCGGATAATAAATCAGTAATCTAGAAAAATACAGGTAGTTGATTTACGAAAAGAACTGAAATTGGAAACCCTAGATTTTCCGGAATATACCTTTGCGATCGGGCTTGTGGCATCTCTTGACGAGACGAATGCTATCCTTTGAGAATTCTCTCAATGGATCGAAAACTGAATCCAATGCATCCATACTTGCTGATTTACCTAACTTTTAGAGAGAGAAATTTGGTCTGGTTCAGAAGGATGGAGCTGGAAATGTATACGAGACGGAAAATGCAAACGTGAATGCGTTATTCACATACGGTCATTGAAGTTGAAATGCAATTTCAAATTAGTCATTAAAGTATTTTTATAAACTTTTTTAATCACTAAAGTTAAATATGTTGCAAAACTAATCACTCGTTTAACGATATTCACCCATACCCAACGGTGAATTAAACCTTCACATCGACTAACTATTATTTTGTCTATATCGTGAAATTAGAGATCATCAAAATAAAACGGAAACTTCACGTTCTACCAAAAGTTTCATATAACTCATTTTAATCCTAACCCTATTTTTATATCATATTTAGCTCCTGTTTAGGAGCCATTCTTCCTCCAAATTGTAGAAAAAATGTAGTCGTTATATAGCAAGTGTCAGGGAGGTGGGCCTAAACTGTTTGACCAAAATGACGTCAAATGACCAGTTTGCCCTTATACAAAATTCATTCTTACCTAAACTAATGGCAATTTGGGAAAGTGGAATTATTGCAATCAGAAATTAATGGGGGCGGTGGGTGCCACTGACATACCAACTGTCAAAATTGTTATTAAAATGGGGCCAAAATGGCTCCCAAACAGAGGCTTAACGTAATCCGAATTGATTCCAAATATCTGAGCTCACATTTGCATAAATTTAATGCCTACAACAAACTGTACTTAACGACATTGGAAGTCAGATGTCAACAATGATTATTGAAATTAACATGAACGCATGCTTTGTCCACTGCCCAAATTAGCCCTCAACACATTTCGTGTTTTTTGGTACCAAAGATTGTATAATATTTAATAATATTAAAAAAAACAAAAGTAGGTAACATTGGTTGCTATTAATAAAGAGTGATCTAAAAAGCGTATAGTTTAGTTAGATGATTAGTCAAGCTTCGTGCATAGGTAAAGTATAGACAATGTCTATTGCGCCTTTAAGAACAATATTATCAAGTCTTATGTTAAGACTTTTTATATAGCAATCAAGAAGATCTCTTAAAAACTGAACATTTGCAACTAGAATATATAAAATAGATAAAAATTGTTAAGGATATAACGATGTGGAAAAGGGGATAAAAATCCCTGCTATCCTAACAATTGGTTCGTCCCAGATCTCTAGAAAGAGGCAAGTCGAGATTGCACTGAAAACAATTAGGCTATCCCCTTGTTTGAGAAGCTGAGAATTCTGATCTTCTTTCTCGCTGAACAGCACGAGGAGTAAAAGCAAAACCATGAGCATGTCGATGGCCAAAGCTGATGGATGCAGGGGAATCCGAAGTGCTTAGTTTAGAGACTGCTGAGATGATATTGTCGAGAGTTTCTTCCTCAACTTGCATTGCAGTAGAAACCTCCTCTGTCTTGTGCGATGCTTGTTTACGCTGGACTTTTTGCCTGTGCTTCTTTGACGGTCGAACCTTCTTGAAGAACTCGAATGAAGATGGGAATTTATGTTTGTCAACCAGATGCTGCTGCCGGCTCTTGTAAGTCTTCAGCTTCACACCACAGCCTTCAACAAGGCATTCGTACTGTAACACAAAATTCAATAAGAATTTTCGCTCAAACACCCAAAAATGACGCGTGTTTGTCAACTTACTTTATAAGAATCTTGTGATTTCACAAAATATCATCATCTAGCTTCCTTATTTGGGCTAATTAATTTGAAGATAACACTCCCACAAATATCATGCATGCATGCATGCACAAACGAAATGTCATAGTTGACATAATGACAACTTAACAAGATAAATGCAAAATCACAGGGGAGAGCTAACTCGTCAAGATAAAAGAAACTATTCTATAGCATAGAAGTATGTAAGACTGCCAGACAAATCAACTAATGGCCGGCACTAAAAGACATGGAACCTAACCAGTGATTGAACAGAAAAGCACTAACAATAAGAAAATTTACCATAGCAAACCCACGGGCAACTTTTGCCTGAAAGAAAGAATCGTGGGCTTCAGATACATGTATACTGAGCAGGTGTGATGTAGGGTACACTCTTGAGCAGACTGAACAAGATGCAGTATGCCGTGCATGGTAATGATCTTCAAAATCGTCCAAAGATTTCAAACGTGCCCCACAACCAACAATTGAACAAAACACTTCCCTGTTAAAAATAACCTTAAGAAGTTGATGATAGTGCAGTACAGAAAATAACTATATATAAAAAAAAAAAAATCATTTCGATCACCAGCAAATGCAAGATATAGAAGCGGAAAAAGACAGAATATTCAGATTTATGAACATAATTCACTTCTTGAAATAAATAATCCAAACATATCACTCAGTTCTAAATAAAATGGCAATTTTGACATTTAAAAGCAAAGAAAATGTATTTGATGCAGCAAGTTTAAGAAACTGAGAAAACTGTTAATTTTGAACATCCAATCTCTCACGATTCAGATGCATCACATAGTTTGAACTTCTTATATCACATTCTGACATTCAAACTGCAAGACTGACCATGACATAGAAAGTGTGTCAGATGGCATTCCTTGCCTTTCTCAGTTTGTCAATAAACTATAAAAATATAATGCAATCAAAACAAGCCCAAGACCAACTTGCAAATTTACTTGAAGAGTGATGACAGATAAAAGATCCGTCAGAAGTATAAAAGTATCATTTACAGAAATAAATAGACAAGCCAAAGCTTTAAACATATCAAATTCAATTGTATCATATTTCTCCTCCCCAAACGAAAAGAATCCAATTTTTTTCCTTGTTAGTAGCATCTTTCTGACTTCATATCATTTGGACATTTGAAGTACTAAAATCATCTACACTAAATCAAAGGGTAGCAAAACAATTACCTGCTTTCCTCATCTTCCATATTTCGAATATGCTGTTTTTCTTCTTCCGTCAAATCCAATGCAACCTGTTTCACAAAGTTTTAAGATCACTGAAATTTGTTATCCTAATTATGCTAGAGGAAACGGAAAACAAGAAGGCTGAAAGATGTCATCATCCGGAAAATATCAAAGAAAATGCAACGGTTCAAGCCAAATCACTAAGAAACACATGGCCAAGGAACATTGTCTATAAAGCATAGTTCATACATGTAAGATTTCAAGGTATTTCTCTCATATTATTCATAGGAAGCTTGTAGGTATATATACAAATGACTAGTACTATATTGAGATAGAAATTAGGGCTAACTCCATTTACTAGACTATTTTAGGAAATAATCTCTAACACTTCCCCTCAAGGTGAAGCATAGATATTTATCATGTCCAACTTGTTATAAAGATAATTCACCCGAACTTCATTTAGAGCCTTTATGAAGATATCTCCCAATTATTCTCCAGTTTTCACATACCTTGTTGAAACCAAACCTTGCTAAATCTTCTCACGAATAAAATGACAATCAATCTCAATGTGTTTCATTCGTTCGTGAAAGACTAAATTAGATGCAATATGAAGTGCAACTAGGTTATCACACTATAACTTAGCTAGTATTGAGGTCTTGAGGCCCACTTCGGTGAGGAGCTGATGTATCCACTTTATTTCACACTCAGACTTAGACATAGCCCTATATTCTGATTCTGCACTCGAACGTGAAACAACATTTTACATCTAAGAGCTGATGTATCCACATTATCTCAAACACGGACTTAGCCATAGCCCTATATTCTGATTCTGCGCTTGAACGTGAAACCACACTCTGCTTCTTGCTTTTTAATGAAACCAAATTTCCTCCAACAAATACACAGTAGCCAGATAATGGTTCTGACCTATTAGCCGTTGTAGAATGGATTAGAGGTCTTGAGGGCATCTTTCAACACATTGTTTGTACAGATGCACAAAAGGTACTATGCACTAAATTTATGTTTGTTGGAGCAGTGGGTCGCTGGTGAGAGTCTACCTCACGTATAAGGACCGAAGAGTAGCAATTTAATATGACTTAGGAGCAATTTAAGGATAATGTGATGGCAAAATACTTTCTGCAAGCTTTGAGAGACTTTATGATGCGGACAGCATCGAGATTTATTTTTATTGTCATTGAGCTTTATTATTTATGTTATTGTTATTGGGCTTTATTATTTATGTTTTTATTGTTATTGGGTTTGTAATAGTAGGTTGGCCCAAACCCAACTAGGTTTTCACTATTTAAACAGTTTTTACATTACAATTTAGTAGACGATGATTGACTAAAATTGAGATTGGCCGTTGCCAAATTTTCTGCTTCTTCTTCTTCCTCCCCTTTTCTTCACGGCTTCTTCTTCTTCTTTAGCTTTTTCTTCTTGCTTCTTCTGTTCTTTTCTTCTTATTGTCTTGATTTGCATAGGTCCTGCATCTAATTTGGTATCAGAGCTAATTAATCCTACATCCAATCACCAAAATATCATCACCAAAACTTGGGAATTACTTCACTTATGTCCCAACAATTTCTTACTGCCACACTCCACAAATCCAACCTCACACTAGAATAAAATCCCGAAAACCCAAAATCCACAATCCATCCATCCAAACCTATAACCACCTTCACACTCAATTTTTGAACAGCAGCGAACACAAAACAATTGTTCCACAGCAGCAACTGTCTTCCGTTTTAGTAGTTTTGATTAGTTAGTTGAAAAAAAAAAAAAATTCTGCTCCCCGTCGTACTGTTCTCGGGTTACTGTTCACACCCGGAAAGTCTTCTTCCGATTTTTCATCAGTTCTTAAAAAAAAAATTTCAGTTTGCAGAAAGTGGTTACACGTTGCTGCTGCTTTACACCCATGAATCATGACCTAGCTATCTTGAAACTAAAGATATCCAGCCCACTGAACATAACCACATACCCAGCCCATAATCCCACTACAGCCATCACACAAAATTTAACCTATTAAGCCAAGCCCATCACCACCGTTCAGCCCAATTTATCCCAACAACAAACCATTACTTTCAATCAAGAAGCCCAACACTACAATCCGGCCCACACTCATCATCCCTTCTCCTCTCAAATTCTATACCAAATCGGCACCTGCGACTGCCTCCTACAATCGCCGCATCCCTCGAATCGCTGCCACTACCGCTTCCCCTATTAACTGGCAACCAAAAAAAAAAACCAGCAAACCCCACCACCCATTGCTGAAATCTGTCCTCCGTCGACGCCGCCACCGTGTTCAGTCACCGCCGTCCCTTTCTCCACCGCGGCCAACTTCATCTACTCTCTGAACAAAACTCGTCACCACAGCCCTGCGCCACTTCGTCCGTTGCAACAGCCTCCCTCGCCACAGTCAGCAGCCATCAGACAACTGGACAACAGGGAGTTGCTGTTTTCTATTTATCATTGGTTTATACTGTTGTTCATTTTCAAAGGGCATCATTTACATTTTTTTGTGTTGCTGTGATTCTAGAAATTTCATCTTTAACCCACTTGGCTTCATTGGAATCATTGCCCGATTAATTCCCAATTCCAACTTTACCACACTTATCCCACCGACCAGATATTTTGATTAATCATTGGACACTTGCTTGTTATCTTATATGTCTCAGCAGTATTAGCTTGCCTCCAAAGTTTCAAAAAATAAAATAAAAAAAATGCTCAAGTTATTATTTTTCGTTGCTTGCACTTATTGTTCATTGATCTCTTCATTGCACGTCATTTAGCTGCTAATACAGTGCATACAGTTGCATCGTGGTCGTCTTGTCACTTTTAGTTTCAGTACATTAACTATGGACTCCTCGCAATTTGATGCACTCACCCATCAAATAGCAGCTATTCAAATCCAAATGTCTGCTACTCTTGAAGTGTTCAAGAGTATGAGCCTAGCTGCTAGTCTGAATAATTTTGAGAAATCCCCACATTCGACTGATGTTGTTAATCCTGAAGTGTCCCATTATAACCACTATCGTCGTCAACAAAGTGATCAAAAATATTGTCGACACGATCTTAGGGATAGGGGTCAAGTTCAGGAGCGAAAACGAGGTTATGACCATCACAATATTCATTCTCTTCCACATCATAATGAGCGTTCCTTTAGAAATAATAAAGCAGGTGTTTCTACTTTTGATGGTTACTTAGATTTTGAGATTTGTGCCCAATGGGATGCCCTTAAACAAGGGAATCGGTTAGTGACGGAGTATATTGCTGAATTTGAGAAATTTCGAATGAAATGTCATGTCATTGAGGATGAGGCACTGACTTTGAGTAGGTTTAGCCAAAGTTTAAGAGATGATTTTAGGCGTGAGCTTCTCCTTAGGGGTGTCACAAGTCTTGATCAAGCTTACTCTTTAGCCCGAGATTTTGAGTTGATTATTGGTACTCCATATAACTCGCGTGGTGACAACTATACACCAATATCCTCAACGCCACTTCCTCTTAAGTCTATTAGAAGACCTTCCCCGTCAAATGTTCCTCTTGTGTTCAAAAATAAGGGTACAATTTCTGAAATTCCGAGAACTTCATCTCACTTGCAGTGCATCAACTATAAGGATTCTGGCCACACCTCTTCCAAATATTTTAGCCGAGCCTTAGTCACCGAAGAACGAAATAATATACTAGATGATTAGTTAGAAGATCAAGTCTATGAACCTAAACTTGAGGAATTTGATGACTTGGCTGATAGTGAGAACACCTCCTTAAGTAGTATTCAGATTTTTCCTGTGAATCAAGGCATTGTACCCCTTGTCCCCGATACCTCTCCGCCAAGTGTTGTATGTCATACACTTATCCAATCCAGATGTGCTATCGATTTGCGTAATCATGCAATTTTCAAGGAAAATCTTAGGAATTGGGATTTGATCGTCCCACGAGTTCAAATTAAGTATAAAAATTTTGTGAATCGGTCAATAAGTATGAGTCCCGTTGAATTTATTCATGGTTATGAGTCTATGAAGCCTTTAGATCTTATTCCCATGTCCCCACATGCTAAAATGTCTATGTCGGTTGAAACATTTGCACAACATCTTCATGATTTGTATATTAAGGTCAATAAACGACTTAAAGCAAGTAATGCATTATATAAACTTCAAGATGTTTTGCATAAACGATTTTTTTAATTTAATATTGGGGATTATAGTATATTGCAAGCTCATAGTGCTGGTCATTTTAAGATTTTAAAGCATGTTGGTCCAAATGCACATGTCATCGATCTTTTCTCACATTTTGGCTACCACGATACTTTATATATCGAGGACTTCATTACTTACAAACACCGTTTCCATTCCTTTGATGATCCTTTTCTACCTCACTTTGTGGACTCCCAACCTGTCTATGTTGATATTACTACTTTCATACCCTCTATCACAGCACACAAAGATACAATTGATGTTATTCTAGATGAACAGATTGTGTTGACCAATGATAGAGAGATTTTGTGCTTCCTTGTTCGTTGGGTAGTTCCACCTGATGCAGACCGTACATGGAGTCCTATGGAGAAGTTTCAACAAATCTTGATTACTCTGCTGGAGTTTCGATATTTGGTTCCTATGAAAGATCGTCCCCCGTGGTAGAAATTTATCCACTCGACGGGGTCGAGTTTTTCTCCCACCCCGGGAGAGTTGATGCGGACATCATCAAGACATCGAGATTTATTTTTATTATCATTGAGCTTTATTATTTATGTTATTGTTATTGGACTTTATTATTTATGTTTTTATTATTATTGAATTTGTAATAGTGGGTTGGCCCAAACCCAACTAGGTTTTCACTATTTAAACAGTTTTTACATTACAATTTAGTAGACGATGATTGACTAAAATTGAGATTGGCCGTTGCCAAATTTTCTCCTTTTCCCTGCTTCTTCTTCTTCCTCCCCTTTTCTTCACGGCTTCTTCTTCTTCTTTAGCTTCTTCTTTTTGCTTTTTCTGTTCTTTTCTTCTTATTGGCTTGAATTGCATTGGTCCTGCATCACTTTACGGAATCAGAGTTTCAACAGCTCAGATAGGGA